CGTCTCGAATTGGTGCAAAAACAGTTTCTCCTCTTCGCGCTGCGTGATCTAAACTGGGGTGCCAATCTCCATTTGCCATCTTACCATACTATTACTCAATTGTAGAAAAATTCGGGGTATTATTTTTCTACATAATTCGTTATATAGATTCGGCCCGTTTGTTAACTCAATTTCTTTGTTCCTTACAGAGCAGCCAGATGTATTTACCTTTCTACTATAATATTCTTCTATAATGATTACAAATAATATTACCATGTGTTCTTCCATGATATTAATTTTTAATCAATTAATTAAATCCTTGCTCATCTTACGGAAGTCACATAGAGCCCTCACATGCGAGCTTATGCATAAACTTGATGTTCCGTCAGAGCACGCACATTGTACAGTGATTTGCCAATTCTATCTATTGGATTTATTTTTTTAAAATAATTTGTAAGATTCCTTTAACAATGTCCATATATCTTAATAGTTTTTCTTTCCTTTCTGAATAACTTAAAATAAAAAATATATATATTTAAGTTTTTATACATTTAAGCCAAACATTATATTAATATATATACTATATACACTTCAACTAAGCTAAAGCTCGGTCAACCAACCAATCTGAAGTCAGCATTAAACTGGAATAATGTAGACAATAAAATTTGATTTTTTGCTTTATTTTTTTTTTTTTTTTACTTAGCGAATAACCTTGAACGTTGCATCATTCGGGAAGGTTAATTCGTATCAAACAAATTGCCGCGCGAAATGTCAACCAAATTGTAATTTTAATTCAATCTAAACAAATTGGCAAAGCTGTTAAATGTATGCGATGTGGCTTGGATCATTGACGGCCTCAGCCGCGCATTGTATAACCCAAAGTATCACCCATTCGTGCCCTCTCTCTCTCTCTCTCTCTGTATATGTGTCTGTGTGTGGGGTCTGCGCTTAAATTTAGACACAATTTATTTATTTATTTAAAAGTCAACTATCAAAAGGTTGTCTTTTTTTCCTTGCTTTTGTCTTTTGTTTTGTCATTCGTTGTCAGATTTATTGTGATTATTTTCTCTCTCTCTCTCTCTCTCTCTCTCTCTCTCTGTTTATTGTCTCTCTTCCTTTTTTTGTTTTGTGCTGGGAATTTGCTGTGAAATCTAAACAAAAACTGTCGTTGCGGTTTCCCGTGGGGTGAATCCATGTAGTTCAGCTCTTGTTCAATTCAATTGCGGTTTGTTTTTTTAGTGTTTCGTAATAGTTTCAAAAATTAAGCTGAGGCTTAATTTGAGAACTCTTTGAGTATTATGCGGTCTAGTAAAAAGTTGCAAAATTTGTATCGAATTTGATATGAAGAATCAAGCATATAATCTTTTCCCATTTGTCCATTTTCATTGACAAATATTCTTGTTTCGTAAACTCCACGCCAACAGCTATCAATTATATAGAAGCTTTACTTAAGTAGATCTCGCTTGCACTTGTGAAGCATATCCCCATTATTATTTTTCCTCTACCATGTTGCTCTATTCTTAAGCGATTATTACTTTTCTATTTAATTGCGTCAGCTCTCAGGTACTTCAATTAGTTTCAGGTCTATTTATATGGCAATCGTCTTTCAGCTTGAGGGGTGGGTCATTGCTTAACTTGTGGGCGCTTCTCACATTCCAATTGCAACAGACTGGCCTGCTGTTGACCCCAACTGAACGGCCCCTTTGCAACCGTGTATGGCAGCAAGTTAGGTAACGCCATGGAATTTCGCTTTTCTTCTGTCGTAATATTTATTTATTTACTTATTTATTGAGGGCACGCCTGGACAATTGCAGCGTTTTATTCAATTTGATATGATAATTTGCTTAGACAGAGGCCCCCCCTCCCCTCCCTAACCGAAGATGCCCAGCATATGCCATGTGTCTGATATATGTATGTATGTATGTATGTATATATCCGAGGGGTAGACCGTATGTTGAGACTTTTATTATTTTATTTCGCAGCTACCTTGCAGTGCAAACGAAATCAAGTTGATTAATCAATTCACACATATATGTATATAAATATTAAGTTAACTTTTGCTATAGAACTAGAGATAAACCCAACAGTTTGGCTAGGTTAAGCAGAGGGTACGATTATTTAATGATATATCAACTTATTTACTTATATTAAAATGACATGTATAGCCTGAAGAAAGGCCTCTTGGCATATTCTTATAACATTCAGCTCAGACTCTCAGCGTAAGCTCTAAAGTTTTTAAAATTCTGCTCTGGAAACTCTGCATAAAATTGTATAAGAGATATGCTCGGAGAGTATAAGGAATTCTTATTATTTTTCTTATTACTTTCAAGATTTATTAAATTTCTCTTTGCATGAAGTTCTATATGTTGATACCCCCAAGTAATCCTCATCAGATATAATACAATTGTGCCAAGGTATTGCTGCTATCTTCGAAGCTCTTCAAAATAATTTTGAGTGCGCGTTTATCTTGCATCTGCGCAATCGTGGCTGCTCATCGGATCAAGGCCGTAGAGAATCAGTAGAAGTATAGGGAATACTGGCTGATGAATCAGAATATGTGGAAAACAAAGACGAAACAAACCCGAGCAAAACAGCTGCCAAAAATGATGTTCCTATATATTGTGGTATATTATTATAGTATGGCAGATCTGAGAGAAAAGTGCATGCCAATCGAAAACATGTCATAGATAAATTTTTGTAAACATAAATTCAAGTGCTTCAAGTGCAATATTCGAATAATTCAACTGGACTTCTATATATACATATATATATACCTATCGAGTAGAGACTGTAGCTGTTCCATCAGCATTGCCATACTGTGAAGTTTTGGTGTAAACAAATAACATCATAATCGAGTGTAATGGCACGAGTTGCTCCGGCGACCGTCTGTGGCGCAAGTGTAATCCGATCCGCGGCCCAATTTAGAGTCCGATTTCGATTGCTGACTGATGGCTGCTGGATGCCGTCGATCGGTAACAATTGCCATAAAAGCTGGCGACTTTGGAGCCATAAACCACTAAAACGTTGACTCAGTCAAACAGAAAATAGAATAAGGAAAACAAAAAAAAAGTAAGAAACGTGTTTGAATGCCGGATCGTAAGATTGGATGCATTGGCGTGTGCAGCGGATGCGATTCACTTCGTTGGCATCCGTTGGGGCTTCAAGTCCAATTTGCGACAAATGCAACAAGTAGACCCAACCATGATAGAGTCCATACTCCTATATGCAATCAATACTAAGAGCAACATGGGAGCAAAGTCTAACTTTTCTCTTTTCCCCTTTCCAAGGCAAGGAACCTTCTCTCCCATATCTCATCTCCACAAGAGCTTAACACATACGAGAGAAGCATAAAATAGATGTAGAACAAACATATTTACAAACTTCAACCATTTGTCACTGCCACGAGTGCATACTGTACTTGCTTCGTCAAAGATTTGTTTAGGTTTTTCATGGTTTCGTGAAGTTCACTATTTGCTTTTACAATTTCTGTTACCCAACAGCAATGTTGGTGCTATGTAATGCTATCTAATGATAGTATGCATAGCCCTTATGAGGGTCTTATGGTATTCAACTGAAAGAATCACCTTTGTGGCACACAAGGAATGCGACTCGGATGGGTTCTACATGCTAAAGACGTTGATTAGGTAAGGAGTCGGAATGATCTCTGTGATTGCCGTACCTTCATTGTCTAGATAGACATACATATATCATAACTACGATGGTTTCTTACTCTAGAGTATTTCAGCTTCGTCTTATCGCAATCTCGTTTGCCTGTCTGCTTAGATTTATGACGCGCTTGTTAGCTAAGTTCATCGGAGGTCAGCCGAGGCTTCAGGTTTCTCACTTTTCCTATTGTGTAAACACTTTCTACGGCGTTTCAAACGGCGCTGAGTCAAGCTAGAGATATGCATTTGACTCTTCATGCTTATAAAATTTATAGATAAATCATTAACAATTTCAACATTTTATCCAGTTTTCATTTAGCATACTTACTCAAGAGCTTTAAGAGCTATAATCCTATACCAATTAATAATTTTACGTTTTAGATGACATAAAAAATAAATCAAATGTTTGTTTTTTTTGTTTTGTATTTTAAATTGTTTCTCTTTTATTTTTATATATTTATATATAAAACTTAGATTACGGCCTGTGGCGCATTTACACACTCGATAAGTCGATAAATCGATGATTATATAAAAAATATATATACTATATCAAGCTGGCTTGTAAATGTGCGCACTTACATAGTTCATTCCTCACATACATACATATACATATACATACATATATATACATATGCATATGACAAAAATTAAGCAACAAAAAATTGCTGCAATACAATTTTCAGCTGTAAAAGTTTCTTTATTTTATATTTATATATATATATATATATATTTTTTTTTATTAAAATTCTTCATTTGCATTCTTTTTTTTTTAATATTGCTTTTGAGTCTTTTGTATAACTAAAAATATTTTTGCTGCCTATAAAGTTTTAGTATAAATATTATATGTATTTTTATATTTTCATTTTCGTTTCTTCTTCAAGTTGTTTCGATTAAAAAAAAAATTGCGCTAAACTAAAATGTTCTAAAAGCTAGTTTAATAAATGCTACAAAAATTGCTGGCGAAAAAATTGCTACAAAAATATGTGTAAAATTAAAAAAAAAAAAATTATATATAATTATGTAAATTTTAATATGCGCAAAAATTGTTATTAAAATATATTGTTTGCATTATCAAATATTGTTGTATATATTCATAATAATTGTGTAATATTTATAATTATTGTTGCATTTGTTTCCATAGTTGTTGTTGTTGTTGTTGTTGTTGTTGTTGTGCTTATTATTATTGCAATTTTATTTTAAATTTAATTTTTCATTTTTGTTTTTAGTTATTTTTAGATTTGTTTATAAATTTTATAAACTGCTTAATCAATGATCACAACTCTTAGCATAAATATTAATCGCATGTGGCATTTGCATCATATAGATATATATGCATATATATATATATACATATATATGTAGATCAATTTATATACATATACATAGTAGTGTATATATGTAGTTTATGTTTTATAAAAAATATTTCATTCAACTCGCATTCCAGTTGGCTTGCACTTTTGTTGTTGTTGTCTTTTATGCTGCGTCTTTTAACTGTTTATCTATAGCTCAATATACACATATAGACATATATATCCAGCCATATAGTTCGATCTGTAGCTTGTCTTTTGTTTGAACATTCTCTGATTGTCGTTGGCATCGGGGATTGGGTTCTGGTCTGGTATTATGGACTTTTTTTTTTTTTGGCTCCTGCCTTCTTTGCACTGGTTTTCACATGTTTTGGAATCCGTGAAAACAGGTGAAACACAAGCGGAATTCGTTGATATGTGTGTGTGTGTGTTGCTTGGGTGCATATTTCTGTATTGTTTACTTACAAGGCCACGCCCTCTTTTATCATTGTTCATACTTCACTTTGGCTGCGTGCAACTATAAGAGAGGAAGAGAAAGAGGGAGAATTACAAATTGATTGAATGAGTAATAGAGAAACATGAAAGGGCAAAGGCTGAACTGAATAAGAGACAGACACACACACATGACACCCACACAGAGTGGGGCACTGCAAGTGGAATACAAATATTTTGAGTTCTTTCCCATAATCTGATCTTTTGCGTATTCTCCTAAAATGTTAAGTGTAAAACTAAATTAGATTGCCATTAAAGGTAAGAGAATACTTTTTAATAAAATATATGAAAATTGAAAAACGAAAAAAAAAACACTAAACAATATCAATGATATAATTTTTAATATATTTACAATATAATAAAAATTATATAATACATATATAAGCAAAACAAATATTTAGTTTTCTTTTATCAAAAAAATAAATAAATAAATAAAAAAATAAAATATAACCGGTATATAAAATTTAACAGTTAATGTTAATTATTATTAAGTTTTTTCATCCATAACATTAGAATATAAATTGCAATTGATTCTTTCAATGCACTAGACGTGCGCCTGGCCTACAAAAAAGTTCAAGTCTGTAGCTCTTATAGTCATTGAGATCGACGCTTTTATATATAGGATCAGACCGAAGGACTGACAGCTCGTCGCCCTGATCAAGTGTATATGTGTATACTTTATGGGGTCTGCCACACCACCTTCTGCCTGTTGCACACATTTTAACAATTATACCCTAAATTTCCATTTCGGATTTGGGGTATGCCAAATATGTATATTAATTTGTATAAGATAAAATTTTGTCTTAATAAAAATAGCAGAAAATAATAAATAATTGTTTTTTTGTTCTACTTCTGCGCCTTTTTTTTAGCAATAAATAAAACTTTGACTTAAATTAGGAAATTTTTTTATATCTATTTTTTTTTATTATATATTTTTTCCATAGATAACAAATCAATAGGAAAGCATTTCTTTTGCTTTTTTTTTTTGTTATTTACTCGCTGTTATTAGTTAAGAAATTAATAACAGTAAAAATTATATGTATATGCACATATCAATTTACTGATATATTATATTATGCATATATATTATACATATATTTTTTCATAATTTTTTTTACGGCGAATTTTTTAAAAGGAAAGCAATGAAAAACCTATTACATCGTTGTATGAATTGTTGTTTGCTTGGGCTTCTTTGTCGTTTGTGGAGGAAGCGTGGCGTATGCGCAATATTATATAAGCAGCGTATACGTAATGTTCATTCGACGTTTACTGCTACGACTCTTGCTGCTTGAACATACTATACTATATATATACATACGTATGTATATATTTCGATTGCTAAACTCTGACACTACTATTAATGGCAATTATCTGGGCTCAGTGCGCGGCCGTCTTTTGGCTAATTGAAAGTAATTAATGCAATTAAAAATTGAAAAGAAAGAAGCGATGAGAGACGCTCGAATGCGATCAAACGAATACAAAGCGAATATGCGTGCAACAACAACAAATGAGCAAAGCACTAAATTAATACAAATAACAACAAACTATAGAGCCTCTATATGCGCTTCTCATTTTCATTTGTTTTTTTTTTTTTTCGCGTGTCAAACGTTGGTTTTTCTCTCTCTCTCTCTCTCTCTTTCATTTTGAAGGTCGCCTTCCGCCCATTTGCCATTTCATATTGGAAATTTTCATTCATAAAACCAAGTGCCGATCATTATAATGCTGAATAACTGTATTTATATACACATATACATACATGTGTAAGTTTATGTGGATATCACATGTATACACGGAAATATGAGTATTGTCAGGCTTTTAAGGGCACTGGAACTCTATTAGAGCTGAGTTGGCTAAGGTTTTTCTAAGACTTTTCTTGAAGACTTTTGCCAATCCCTACTCGAACCACTTCCATTAGCCATTCTAAAGGGTAGCCACTAGTCTTATATATGTAAGCTTGTAAATTACAAGCATGTCCATGTGTGTGTGTGTGTGTGTGTGTGTGTGTGTGCATGTGAACGTGTGCGATGGGTTAGATGTGTGCTAATTGCAACACTTTATCACTTAAAATGTGATAAACCATCAGCATCATTTTTGTTTCGGTCTTATTAGGGGCTTGAAAGCATTTCAAGTATATCGGCTAGAGGAGAGGGTAGGGTGGCGGTATCGATAAGATAAGGGAGGCAGGGCACTATGTTGCCTAACTTCTGATTGGCGTTGTATGTACGCGCATAGAGCACATAAAAGCGAGACATATCAAAATGGAAAGCAAACAAAAAAATGAACAAAAAACAAAAAACAGACGACGAAAGAGTAAGACAAATGACATGGTGAACTGATTAGAAAAAAAATATATCAATTGAATAGTTGAAGTGTTTTTTTTTTTCCTGTGCTATTTGGTTTGAGGTCAAGCATAGCGCGAGCTGTACTATAATGTGAAGTGCGATGACGCATGTATGTGTAGATATCTCTATGTGTTTTGTATCGCACAGACAGATCTGCAATTCATATTGCTGACATAACTTTATTTAATTCATTAAAAGTTGTCTACACGAGCTAAGATACCCAATTTCAGAACTTTAACCCGAATAGTTTCCGAGTTCAATGAGGCTATTATACATATATATGTGAGCACTGACCATTCGCCATTATCTATAATATTCATACCCTCTTAGGGTATACTACTGGTCGCATATCCAATCAAACTATAGCTCTCTATCTCTGACTTACTCTCTCTCTCTCTCTCACTCTTCATCTGGCATCACGCAGTTATCTCTTAAAAAGTGTATTTTGATTAGCAAAAGGTTTTCTTCGTTGCCGATGAACATTTGTCTTGCTGGCAAATGCGCCCTCGCGATTGCCCTGAACTTGCGCCGGCTGCTCCCCACTATCCCCACTGGCATCCTCCGGAACGAAGGCATGGCTGGTCAAACCAGTTTGCATGCAGAATCAGCGACAAGAAGCAACAGAAAAAACCATAAGAAAAGCAGAACCGCTTGTCTGGAATGTAGTTTATGAGGCGTGAGTGAGATGGGTATACACATCTCTAGCTGCCTAGCCGCGCATGCGTCGCTGCCTCAGCGTTTATCTCGCTTGCGCAAGCGTTGACTTGAGGCTGCTTGCGTTACGCTTAAATGAGCGCGTAAGACCAGCAGTGCGTGTGTGTGTGCTCTGCTCGCTCTCGCGCTCTATGCTCGCTCTCGCTCTCAGTGAAATGTTGTTGGGCGAGCGCGTGAGTTTTGAGCTGCTGTTAAAAGCGCGTGGTTATGCTATTTGCCACTGTTAAGAGTTCGTTTGTGACGTCAGATTGGCTGGCTCTTTCACACATTGTTCGCACGCTAACAGAGCACTGTTAGCATAACAGATCGCTTTGCCTAACCAAGTATTACTCAATCGCACATATTAACAGTCTTGAATATGCTAGCCAAGCTTGTTTATGCTGACAATTTGTTTAATGTTTGAGCTATAATTACTACACATACATACATATGTGGCATATTGATTTATTTATAGCAATCAAGCATGCAAACAGCATCAAGAAAAATGCTAACTCTGGCAACTCCAAGTGTATAACTGCTAAACGTCTGATTGCTCAAATTTTGGAGTGGACCCTCTATCTAACTCGCTCTCTCGACCCCTCTCTCTCTCTCACTCTCTCTCTCTCTCTCTCTGCCTCTGTCGCTCCGTAAATGATTTACAGTTTCTTTGCTGCTGAAAATTTATGTATGTATGTATGTACATTTATGTTTTGATTGGAAGATGGTAGGAGGGGAATTCTATGTGCGTGTGCGCATTCATTGAGTGGACAGGGGTGGGCAATGGAATTGAGGGGAAATTGACATTTATTTGTTGTACTTACAATCGCTGACACGCTGCCACTGATAGCACAGGGTGGCCCAGATGCCGACACTGACTCCAGCTTCAACTTCCGACTCCCAGCTCCGCCGACTCCTAGTTCCAAATTCGACTCTTCTCTCTCGCTCGCTCTCTCTCCTCCTCTTCTCTTTCTCTCGCTCGCTTTCCTTCTCTCTCTCTCTCTCTTTCTGTTTCGCTCTCTGACTCCATCTCCATCGATCATAAGCTCTCGCTTAAGCCTCGAAAGGCTGCTTTTGTGGACTTTGGCCATCGCCGCCCATTTCACGATAGAGATCAGCGATCACCTCCTTGTAGATCAATGGATCGATATTCTTGCCCAGTTGGTAGAGCAAGAACCAATCGCCAATGTTGCACCTGTTGGCCACCTTCTCCACCTCTTCGCTCTCGGCCAAGCGGGAGCGTGCGCGCAACAGCAGATGCCTCAATTTCGGTCCCATAACAACGGCAATGCGATAGACCAACGAGATGCCCGACAGGATGCTCAAAATGATGAACCAGAACCAGAGGAACACATAGATCTTCTCATTCACAATGTTCAATGGCAGCACACAGAGTCCATCGAACTTCTGAACTCCACCGGATGGACCATATTTGTGGAATGTACATTTGGTGACCTTTGGAAAGACCTTCGCCATCGGATCGATACGATCATCGGGTTCCATTTCCGTAAACTTCAACACATCGCTGCCATACGTACTGAACTCGCCATCCAGGAAGAAGTCCACGAAATAGATCTGCGCAATGACGTTGACGAAATTGAGGGCTTCGCAGACGAAAAACCGAAAGGCATAGAAATTGTGACGATTCAGATTGCCAATGAAGTAGTCGACCAATATCTTCTTGCGATCGTTTTTACACCGATCATTCACAATGGGGCTATTGAGGTCCATCACCAGCATCTTCAGTCGGCCGCCCTCCCACGATTTCCAGAGATAGCGCGGCACATAGAACAAGATGGCTTGGAAGAAGAGCACAAAGCAGACCCACTGATAGTATTTGTGATATCTGACTTTGTCCTCGCCATCGACATGGGAACCGACGCCGGGCGAGGCAACATCATGGCCAACGACACCTGTCAGACGCTCGGGCACCGTGAACGTTGAGTAGATCCAGCAATAGGTGTCCATCACACCGAGCGGTATCTCATCGACAATGCAATCGATGGGATCGCCGATATATTGGCGAGATGTAACGAGCAGCGAGAAGGCAATCAATATGATCACCGTCGCCTTGTAATGCATGCGAAAGACATTGTTATCGATGCAAACCTGATCGATTTTCAGTAGCCCCTTTACGGAGCCAAATACATCAAACATTTTGGCACTTTGTCGTTATATCGATTCACTGATTGATCGAGTGTGGCAGAAAAATAGTAGCTTTAGTTTTGTGTTTGCTTTATTGATCGATAAATCGATTGATTGGCAGCTTGATGAATCCTTTGTCCTCTGATCGCTTGATTGATCGACTGGTGTCTGGCAGTTTTTGTTGTCTTTGAAGTTGTTTTCCTTTTACTTTTTTTTTTGTTTTTTGTTTTTAATATGTTAACTTGTTTAACCAATTGTTGTTGTATGCATATATAAATAATTGGGCTTTATTGCTGCGCTCGGTCACTCGTTCGCACATCACTTGTCCAACATAACGCTTGAGAGAATGCACATCGGGCGAGCCGTACTGAGCCGTCGAACTGTTTCGTGGGAGGCTCAACTCGCCGCTGCTCCGTGCGCTGAACTGATCTCAAAAAAATTCCCTCGAGTGTATTTGAGCCGATGCTCTCCCATACACGCGCACGCACAGTCGCTCACACACACACACGCACACACACAACAAAAATGAAGAAGTCGCTGAGAAAGAGCGACAATTGTTGTTGTTGGCCGACAAAAAAAAAGCAACGAAATACAAAAAAAAAAAAAAAAGAACGTATCGTCAGTCGTGTGTATTTGGTACTTTATTTATTTGAAACGCCGTCGCAGCAGCGACCACTAAACGCACTCTTCGAATAGAAAATTTCAACTGAGCCCAAACCCGAGTCACACGAATGCGTTTAAAGAGAGTCCATCAAACCGCTCACTCCAGCACTCACACACACACACATACACAGGTTCAGATAGCGGGAGCGGGAGAGCGAGAGCGCAAAAGCAGCCAAGCTTGAGTCGTTTACCAACAAGTCAGTGAGCGACGCACACATGCATATGTAGCTGAGCGCAAAGCAGCGAGAGTGAGAGCGAGAGCGAGAGCGAGCATTGCGTTTGGCCAGGTAAAATATGTAGCTATTTTTGGGGTGGATCTTGTTGAGTTCGTGTCTCGAGTGCACACATAAGCACAGCTGCATATATACACACACACACGATAACATACATGTATGCAAACAGTCTCTGCTTTTATATCTGCAGCCAGACCTGTTTCTTTTATAATGAGCAAGGCTTTTAAAGTGAGGGTATTTTAGTTGAGGCATCTCAAATACGTAACAGCCAAATGGAAATTGATGTATAGACCATATTTATATTTGCATATATAAGTAAATGATTATAATATATTTAATTAATAATATCGTATTTGAATGTGAGTCTAATTAATAGTAATATTGATATGAAAACTAACATATTTACCAATTACAGGGTATACTTGTTGTCGCGCAGAGCCAGAGCCAGAGTCTGGTTTTATGATGCCGCTGGGAGAGCGCAAACTGTTGCCTATAAAAATGATTTAGTGTAGTCCGCGCAGTCGAGACTCAAGCGTTAACTGGAAGCTGAGACGCGCGTCTCTTGAGTTGGTAACACACACTCACACACACACACACACTCAGTCATATACATATATATAGTGGCAGAGTATGTTGGGGGTTAGTTAGGGCAGCAGGGGGGTCAAGTGGCAGCACAGATAAAGAGTGAGAGAGAGAGAGAGAGGGAGAGAGAGAGTGAGTGACGGGGGGGAGGACAGCATGCCATGAGTCAGTGATGCCACTGATGCTGAAATGTCGCCATTTTCTTAAGCCAGCTTCAACTTGGCCAATACACACACTAGGCCACCTTTTGTGTCTGGGTCTGTGTGTGTTTGTAAACATGCCAATTGCTGTTTAACTGCATTTGCGCTTACATTTTTGGCTACCAGCTGCACATCTGGCAACGCTGCTGCCGCTACATAAAACCCTTTATACCTATACAAAGATCAGCTAATGGGGTATTTCCAAAACTTACAACTGCTACTGCAGCTGACGATTGCACTGACGACTCTACCTTTCCTTTCTCCTCTTATTTTGGGAATTAATAACTACAGGAAAACTCTATGGAATATAGAATTTCATTCAGCTTGAGTACGGTAAGTCAATAGTAAGCCAGAAAAAGTCTGATAATGATAGACATAACCAAAAGTTAGGCCCAATTGCCAGTCTGGCAGTACTGACCCCTCTTTAGAACTGACTAAGGATCTGATATAATTTGACTTCAAAGACATGCATAACGTTTTTATACACATATTGAACAGTATGGCAACGCCAAGTAATAGTTGTATATGCCTTGATGTTGGGAATGGGTCGATTTCAGGTGTTATAACTGTAAGAAGCCACTTCAAAAACACAGGATATGTAAATTTTCGTTCAGAAAAAAGTCTGGCAACTTTAATTTGGCATTAGTGTAGTTTAAGTAGTACTTCTATGTAGACCTTAGATCATAGATAATATAAGAGAAGAAGCACAAATGCAGTTCAAGCAAAATTACTAACTTGACTTGACGACAGTCTGGCAACGCTAAAAATAAAGCTTGTTGAAGTTGGGATGAAGTAACAGAAGCAAGACATAAAACCGAAATCACGCAAGGCAATGCTTGAGGAGTGAAACTTGTTCAATCCAAGGAGAGAAGCATAAAGAAGCGAAAAGAGTGTGGAAAATGCAAACATGCTGCACATGCCAACAGTCCGGCAACGCTGGGCTGCACCTAAGCTGCAATGCTTGTAGCACTAGTATGTGTGTGTGTGTGTGTGTGTGTGCCCCTTTGTATATGTAACGCTCCACATATAAAATACAAGGTAGAAGGAGAAGAAGACAAAGTAGACGACGAAGTTCTCGGAATTCGTCAATTGAGCTGAATAAAGCATCTCAGCTCCACGCGGGCTGCAACAATGCAACGCGAAACAAGTTACTGCCAGATACATAGCTACACACACACACACACACAGACACAGGCATACGAACATATCTGTATCTGCAGCGTGAATGCACAGATGTGTATACATGTGTGTGTGTGTGTGTGTGTGAAGAAGCAGAAAGAAATTTACTTTATTTTTTCGGTGTTCATTTTATTATTGACAACTGCTTTCACTATGCCGCGTGTTGTTGGTTCTTGCATTGTTGTTTACCTGCCCGATAATATGCAGTAATTACATTTCCCTTACCTGCCCAACTACCTGTGGAGCACTGCAGCTGTATGCGTGTGTGTGTGTGTGTGTTTGTCTCTTTTGCCTTTCGTTATGCTTGCAAGCCATGCCATCGATAGACACATTTAAGCGCTCAATCAATGGATTTTCCTCGCTCGCAATTCCCTCGTTGCCCTCACATATCATATACGAAATCCACTCAACATAACGATTGTATATATGTATATACAGACCCACACAGGTATACAGATATATGTACGTATAAGTATGTAGGTATGTATATGCTTTGAGCAGCGGTGCAAACCGGCTGGGCTACCTGTTACACTCGTTTCGTGGTCATTTACTTAATCTTGTGTCCGAGCCTCATTTATAGCACCTACGCGTACGCACGTATTACCTTCTAGCTCTATCTCTACTATCATCATTATAAATTTTAATGTCCACAAGAAATGATATATAATATATACGGCTGCTCTCTCTCTCTCTTCTTCTTTCTCTGTTTTCAAATCTAATCTGCTTAATATAAATGCTCTAAAATATCTCAAGTATGTAGTTACTATATCAGCTGAGACCTGTTTCATAATATATTGTATATACATATGTATATGTATTATAGAATTTAATAAAAAGTTTCCTGCCTAATGAAATTTTAATTTTTAGAAACCGCTACAAATCCAGAAAAGTTATCAACTCCCAAGAGAACTGCCAGCATATATTCATGTATAAAATATAAATATAAGCAAATGGTGCGCTTCGATAAGAAAAACTATTAAAATTCATAAACAATATATGGACTGGTAGAGTTTATAAAATATCAAAACAAAAGTTCTACAATTTCCACTTCAGTTAGAGCTATAATACAGTAGAGTCTATGTATATACATATATAACGATTTAATAATGTTATCTACTTTCTGAATGTTATGGAGACCTATATCAAAATTTTAACTAATATTGTATGGAAGTCTATTGAAGCCAACATAATGGAAATTGTTAGATCCTGATCTAATTGTCTTTATACAATAATTTATGCTAAGATTTCCACCCAGTCAAGCAGCCCAAGCTGAAATCCACTTAACGATTTCTTTTGATTCATTTATAGATATGCTAATGATGAATAATATTTGAGCCCATTATCCGGTCAAATATTTAACATAAATATATTTGAATTAAGCACGCCCACTATAAATCGCACGCTCATAAATCCATTAGATATGATTGTAGGCGGGGGCGTGGCGTCTATTTTGGGCATAAATCAAATCAACGCCTCAACGAACGACTCAATTTGCGTGAATCTCGTCTCGTCTTCTTTCATGTCTTCTTCAAAACGATTTCGACTCAACTCGAATATCGCACTAGCCCACAAAATTGTAAAGCCGAAAAGAAAAATATGAGATAAGCAAAGTCCCAGCATAAATATTTATGTATACGATTTGCCACAGCTCTTTGGGAAGCATTTAATACTATTGCTAATTGTATTTATTTACATTTATATGGCATACCCTGGAAAATGGGTCTTGAAGCCTGTTGAAATGACGCTAGAGCAAGCTCTATAAATGTGAAATACCGGAATCAAGGTCGTGATATCTCCACTATTAAAACAGCTTACCTTATACTAACCAAACCCTAGCAAGCAAAATTAAATTAAACTTTAGAGCTTCAACTGCGTTGAACTTGGCAACAGTTTGATTTAAAGCTGAGAGCCTGAGATCAGCTTGATCTTGAGTTGAGGAAATTGGAAATTGAAAAAGGCTTATAAATCTATTATAATAGGTTTATTCCAATAACAATACAAATAGAATGCAAGAAATGGGGCGCTGCGAGCGCTAAAGTTAGCTTCTTGGGCACGCACGCAACTGAGATAGTCCAATATTTTGTCACATGCTATGACTGTCGCAGCAAAAAGCTCCCATCAACAACCGTCGGCATTAGCAGGGTATCTGCCAGTCACTCAAATGGTGCGTCAATCACTCTCATTTGTATTTACATGTCGCCTCGCTGAGATTGCGTTTTCGGCACATGTTAACATGAATCAATGCTTCTTGGGGCTGGGCTGCGAACGATGCTCCACGAATTTTGATCGCTTACTCATTGCGAATTCTTCGAACTGCTCGTTAGCGTCATAGTTGACCAGTTTTGTGTTTTTTTTTAACCTAATTTGCATATGGCCGCTTCAACTGAGTCAACCGGCCCAGCTGGTCGAGATGCCAGATAGTAGTTGGCCCAAAAGGCATATGAAGGGAGGTATGCTTATATCGTATTTATATAAAAATCAAATGGAGCTAATCAATTGAGCAAAGTTTGCGGCACTTTTTGATTTGCTTTTCCAATTGCACGGCGCCTCAGATCAAAGCCAGGCAGCGCGACCTTATCAAGCATAACGCTGGCGCTTCCTTCCCACTTACCCAACTACCTCGACTCTATCAAATATGGGCTCTATTCGAATTAGATTGATTATCGATGACTTCATAACGGTAACGTATGCAAATAGCATGAATGAATAATGAATATGAATAGCATATGATTCGCTTTACTATCTTTAAAGCAATGAAAAAAAAAAAATGTGTGATACAAAAATCCCCATAAGTGCATGATTCCCGAGTCTTATATGATAATTGATAATACTTGTTGATAAAAATGAAAACCATAGCAAAATAGGTATTCATAAAAACCTCTTGAAGAATTTAAGGTGAAATTTTAAAAAGTTTGAACATTATGATTATTATTATATTTTATGACTGAGGCATTTTTTATTTTTTAATAAAGTATTAATAATTTCAAAAGAAATATTGCTGAAAGTCTTTTTGAATTAATAAAATATACAAACAATAATAATAATTGTAGAAAAATTTTCGTGTGCTTTATTTACTTTATTTTTATTTTTATAAGATGATTATAAACAAAAAAAAAAAAAAAAAAAAAAAAAATATCTAAAAAAAAAAAAAAATTTAAAATTTTAGGATACTTTTAAAAATATCATTAAAACAATTTCATAACAATTATTTAAAAAAATAAAAAAGAAAAAGGGCTTTGATTAAAAAATATTTTTTTTTTTATTTTTCAAACATAATAAATCTGAAGACATGTAAAAACTAAATTAAAAAAAAAAAATAAATAAATAAAAAAATATCTCTAAAAATAATTAAATATATAGGCTTAAAGGCCCCCGTAGTCAATGCTTAATTTAAAGTTAATTTCAATTTGATTTTAACTCTAGCGTCCAATGAATATTCTCAGGCATTTCAATTAAAAACAATAATTGATTTATTAATATATGATATGATATTGCCAAAACCGTTTATTGGCTATATATTTTATGGGCTTTTTGCTCATCATTCATCATCTATCATATAATAAATCACTTGTAAAATTATGAGTTTCGACCCTTAACTCATGAATGAAATTTTCATGATTTGCGCACACCTTCCATGAACGTCGCTATATAATTTATAGTTTTGCATCTGAGGTGACATTGTAACGAGACTTTGAGCTTATTGTTCCAAGAGCGTCCTAAATAATAGGGTTTGGCATTGTAAAATAAAAATAGAAAACTTTTGAAAGTTTTTGTGACATTTTAACAGAAAGGGTTGAAAGCAATATACTCTTTTTACTCCTGACTAAAGATTGTGTGGAATTTGATTAAATGAAGAAAGGTATAGTAGCACTACTTTATAAATGCTATATAGGTAAAAGGCTTAAAATGCTATAGAAGTAGTATAGAATAGGAAAGTAGAGTAAAGGGAAAGGTAGAGCATAGATAGAATATGAGGTATAGAGTTTAATCTAGATGAGTATAGTATATTAATAGGTAGTATACTAAAGTCTAGTAAAGTATAGTATAATCTGAATTGATGTAACATATATTAATATAGTATAAAATTGAGTTATACGATAGAGCTTATAATATAATACAATTGAAGAATATAATGATATGATACTTACAGCTTCTTCCCCCTTTCAAGATAAGTTCACATATAAGTTCATTTGAATACATTTTACCCCAAGCATTTTACTCCACATATACTAGACTATATAGACTACGATAGAGACATAATTGTTTTGCACTTCGAGCTCCACTTTTAGCGAGCAATCGTGACTTCTTGCATGAGTACAAAATGCTTTTTCATGCCAAACAAAAAGCTATAAAAAAAGAACCTATCAAATGCGATTTTTGGAATAAGCTGCTCAGACTTTACGTGGAAAAAATTATTCGCTTGAACAAGCTCATCAAACTTGAGTCAGTTCCCTTTTTTGATTTAATATCATATTTGTGTTTTATGAATGATGGAATTGAATCATATGCTTAAGTTAGAATATAACGGTGGTAAATAGAAATCGAATGACATGTTGTTCCGTTTATGAGATCTCATTTTGGTATTTTTCTAACACTCTCACGTTTTTAACATTCTGTTATTCGACTGTTAATAAAGTTTGATCTAAAATATAATTATTATAGTCTAGCGAAAATCGAAAAGTTGTATTCGAGTGAAGAACTGCTAAATCCACATACCCCCAGTTATGCCGTTATGCATATTACGGTCTTATGCATGCTTGCTCAACAACTAAACATGGGTTTATTGGTTTTATGTAATGTCTAGGCGATTGCTAGTGGAAATTTTGATATATGGGCCTTAGGACAACAATTGAGCCGTGATATCTCGCTAAGTAAGTATGTATACCTTGGGTTTATCTATAAACAAAGTTCTTATAATATTGTGGTATATCATAAAAAATATATCTATTAAATCTCAAAGTCTACCATGAGAATAGCTAAGAATAGAGCAAAAGTTCTCCTACTGAAATTGTGAGTTTCGTATTGCAAGTGTATGGGACAGTCGGCAATAGGTGTACGATATGCTTCTACCTGTTTGCGTTAGCTATTTTGCGCAAATATTTGATTGAATGTCGAAATTACTTTCACTTTTTCAACAGAACTTGTTGCAACAGTTGCAAATTATATGAACGCGTTCTCTACGCTCGTTAAATTAATTGCATTGTAATTGTATCTTTAAAAAAAGCTGCGACTTATTCACACACACATACACACAGACAGACAGACAGACAGACAGACATTTTCAAATTTCGTCATTACGTATGCGATTTGCATGAATGGTTCGCATTTCGTTAGCTTTTGTGGTCGAAACGTATTCAAATTTCGCCTGTAATGCAACCCAATTACAACAAAGGCAGAGAAGGAGCATGGAAAAACAAGAGAGAGAAAGGGGAGACAAGCGGAAAGTGAGGTTTAGCTAGTTATAAAACCGATTGGGCAATCTGTTGCATTCGTTCAATCAATGAACTTTATCGCATTATAATTGAAGTGGGCAAGAATCGCCAGTAGACTTTGAAATCGACAAAGACCCTTGTTACCTTAGTCAACCAAGTAAAAATGTACAAGTTACTAGGTAGCTTTTCCTCAATTGTAAGATACTGCAGATAAAGCTAGTTACTGATACAAGATACAAGCATATGTCATTTATGACTTAGGGGAATGGAATGCGACAGGCCGCATATACAAATGTCTATCGAAAGATATGTGTCATATAGCATCTAGTTATAGTAGAGAAGATACAGACACATTCAAAAAGAAGGCTAGATACAGATATCATTTTATCAACATTTCTACATTAGAAAAAATAAAAAAGCAGACAAAGATACGTAATACCAAATATATAGATACATTTCCAGATACAAAATCATAGACATTGAGATACATAAATACATATGTACATATGGTTCCATATAATTTATATATCATAACAAAAGATACTATAGTCAAATAACTACATGGTAAAGAATAGATAAAGATACATATGTATCTGCAATATATCTATAGATGCCAAGGAAAATCTGTTCAAATACAAATGCAGAAATATGAAAATATGGGCTATCATACTAAAATATATTCAATGATATGAATAAATAAAATTAAAAAAGATTGAGCTTGAGCTACACTGAGATAAATTCAAACCCAACTGTATCTGTAAAAATATCTGTCTATCAATTCGAATAGACAAAACTATGAAAATATAATCTAAATGGATGGAAGCTCTCAGGCAAGCATTATGTGCTGCCTCCCCCTTGACCTGCTTCTCACACTATCTTTTCGTGAGTCCTCAAACTTTTTTTAGCCAATGAAGCAATGGAGCATGATAAGCACATGCAAATAGAGATAATATTATGAACAGAGATTTAAGAGTTGAAATTCTATATAAAGATATTGTCAGTGAAGAATGAAGATAAGAATGAATATAGCCATGAAGAGGCAATAGATAAGAAGAGTGTATAGGGTGGCGGGTCTATTAATATGATGATATACACCTGTAGAAGGGAACATTCTTTTGGATTGAATCTTACTCTGGACAAATCTTACTCCCCAACCCTGAGCGCGAGTCAGGCTGCGCACCGTTGGTTGTGTGTAGCCTCTGAGAGTGCTATATGTATGCGGTTCGACTGGAATCGCCGCAGTCTGCTTATAAATGTCGCATAATTGGCGCCCGATAAGACTCCGGCTAAATATACGCAAATGGCTCATACGCGCAGACTTTTTGCTCGATTCAAATTTTTGATAACATTGTTGGGTGTTAGTTGGGACCGGTACATACCTAGATGTTAGTGCTTGGTACCAACAACACAGTTGTCATGCTTGCAAATACAATAGAAATACATATGAATCACTTCTGACGCAATTAAACAGCTGAGTAACCGCTGCGAGTCACCGGACCTAAATCTCAATCAAGGATCAAAGATAAGACGACAAAACAACTGTGCGAAAGACCCGATAATCCGAAATAAAAATGACCAAACTTGCCTCAATGAAAACTTACCAATTCTAATCTATACTCTGCTCGACCGAACAGTAAATCACTGATCTAGATCAATCCATATATCGTTTGTCCAGTCGTGCGCCTGACGGATAACTGGCAATTGGGGCCAGCAGAATCTGTCCTTTTGTTTGCCCTGAATCAATATGCAGCTAGCAGAAAGCTAAATCAATATTTGGAGCTATCATTAACCTTTTTTATACACATATATGTTTTTATATATGCAGGTTATTTTATATGATACAATATATCAACGAGTACATATATACTTTATGCGGAGAGCTTCGGCCTCAAAAAAAAGAGAACTTGCGCAATCTCTAGCTCTCTCTGTCAATATGTGAAGAATCAGGCCGAGTGGTAAGCTAACGCGTTCAAACGCAACGAGCATGACTAGCAGATACCCATTACATTTTTATGTTGTCAAAAACTTTGCAGCTCTAGCTGCTATAGATCTTGAGTTATATGGGAGCATATGTATATATCTATGGGAGCATAGAAACATATATTAGTTACAATAAAGAAGGAAAAGAAAACTTTTTTTAAAACTTTAATATCATTCTTTCGTTTTAATTTTAACATTTTTTAGACTTTTCCCAAATTTAATCAGAGTGTAAATGGAAAAAAATAACACAAAATCGATATCTAAGCTACACGAAAGTAATTTACCTTCAGCTACCTCCACTAATTACTGAGTTCCATGGGAACGGATACGACA